TATCCGCCTGCCCCTTCATCTCATATTGGTACATCCGCTCCATATTATCCTAACCAGTATAACGGAGGTGGTGGAGGGTTAGGAAAAAGGGTTAGCACGTTGGAAGAGATTGTCACACGGATCAGCAGCAAGCACCAAGCTGACGAAGAAAGAGAGTATGTGTCACGTGAAGAAGAGGAATGAAAGAAACGTGTTCGTGAAGAGGAAGAATGGCGAGAGCAAGAGAGGAAGAACCGCGAAGAGTTTCAGTAATCTATTCGCCAAAAATTGGCGGTCAAGTTGGACGTTGTACCAGAAGCTGTTGATGGAAAGAAAACAGCGGAGACTGAGGAAATGACGAAGTTGAGGGCGCAGATCGAATTGTTGTGTAAACAGAAGGAACTTGTTGTGGAGAAGAGAAGCGGGGAAACTGACGAACTGCGGGTAATAAAGTTGCGGATTGACGAGTTGCAGAAATCTCGAGATGCCGCAAGTACCTCGACCACGGTTATTAAACCACCAAGTGAATCGGATGAGATTCTTTGTCTTCGGTGAGAGCAGAGGCGGTGAAGACCACGATCGAGAAATGCCTTGCGACACTTAAGGAAGTCATCGTTGCCCTCCAGAAGCAATGCGAGGCAGCCGAGGCTAATGCCAAAGTGTGGCGGAATTAAGCCTTGCGACCGGGGAATAAGCGAGGGTCTGTGGCGAATACTGAGGCTCGCGTTCGACCAAGAATGACTCCGGTGGTATGTCCACGGGTAGGAGGAAGGGTGGATCAGCATCTTAAGGAAGTCGTTGATCGCAATAAGCAAGAGGTGGGACTCCTTAAGGAGATGAGGCTCAGGGAGGTGAACGCACGAAAAGAGTCAAAAAAGGAGGTTGAACGTTTGAGAGAAGAGATGGCGAGAATTCAGACGAGTTAGAAACGAGGAACGAATCTACGGAAGAAAATGGATGAAGCGGCAGGAGGATCGACTAGTAAAAGTAAGGTTGTGGAGGCGTCACCAGTGATTCTGGTCAGTCAACGTGAGGCGACTCTTAAAGTTGTGAGACGTGAGCTTTGTAATTTAAAAAAGGACGCTGTTATTCGAGGGGCCACGTACACTACTCTTGATGTTGCGAAGGAAGTCGTGGCACAGGCAAGGGCGGACAAGGCGGTGACTGATGAAGAATTGAGTAATGACCTGGCGAAGTCCGTTGCGGTGGTGGAAGTTACGGATGGAGACGAAGGCTCTGGTAAGGATGGGGGGTGTGACTCGACAGAATCCTAGGGTCTTCCCCCGACACGACATGGGTGTGGAAATTAGTTATTACCTGTTTACGTTTGCGTTTAAAGGATAGAGTGTGGTTGCGATGTAAGGAGGTAAGCTGCTTGATGAGCTCTGTAGTGTGTTGTCTCACTGGTTCCGTGGTGTTGTAAGTTGTTTGACTTTGTTGCAGAGGCTTCGTCGTCATCTCGGAAATCGGGGAATAATGCTTGGGAAGGACCTGTTGTATATGCGTTAGTATCACCTTGGTATAAGCACACGTATGTTGGTAGTACGAGTCGAGACCTGCACAGTCGATGGAGGGAACACGTTTACAGAAGTTGTAGAAAGCAAGCAGTTGATAGCGGTAAGAGGAATGAGAAATTGTACAGGTGGTTACGGCAGTGTGGTATTTCAAGTTATGTGATTATTCCATTATGTCGCTGTGATGAGAAGGATTTGGCAAGTATGGAAAAGTTCTTTATTCGGTTACTGTGTCCGGCTTTAAATACGAGGGATATGCCTCGGCGTACGCGAAGACCAAAACCTGGACTTAGGGAGCGATTGCGTGATAAGAGAAAAAAGTCGGAATGCGGTGTTAAGGAAGATGTCGGGCGGCTTTCTAAGATTGGTAAAGGACTGGTTTGTTTTTTCCATCCTACGGTTGGGTCGTCTTCTGTTAGTTTATGGAGCATATTGAAACCATGTGTGGAGCAACATGTTGGTTCGTTTTCAGTTCAGTGTACTACTGGGCATTTGTTGGTCGACGGATGGAAGGTTTTGAAAAGATTGTTTGGAGGGATTATGTTCTGTGTGTTTTCGGTGTCAAAGAGTTTCGGCATTCTCGGGAATGGTTGAGAGGAGGGATGATATTGACTTTTGATCCTATTAAACGGTTCTTGAGTCGTTCGTTGCTCTTGAAGTCTCCGTTAGCATAACTCTTGAGTAATCCTAGTAGAAGAAAGGATTTTAGGCACTGGGAGTTTGACCGACTGATAGCAACCTATACGGCAGTACGGATTTTCAACGAAAAACGGACGAGGTTTAGATTGCGATGTATTCTCTCGCATCATTTCTTAACACGATTTCACCTTTGCTCGATGCATGAAAGACCCAATGACACTTCCGCACCAACCATTGACGAATTCACCTTTGCCCGATGCATGAAAGACCCAATGACAACGGCTTTCGAACACAACCCAAATAATCTCACGTACCACCTTCATTCGTCTTCTCAAGAACAAGATTACTGTCGTAACATCGGCTGAAAGCAGTCACCATTTCTTCAGCAATCACCTTCGACCTGTGATCCTTGTCTCTGTACTTAACAAAAATCGAGACGTCGTCCACCAGACGAAAACCATCAAACGGTTTCCTATCGTTTCCGAGGCTACTCAAAAAAATGTATTCATTGAAAGCACACAATAAACACGCCAATGTAGGACTTGTCGACTTCCCCATAGGTATACCAATTATTTGTCTCAGGTATCGACCAGCCGCCATAATAAAAGTGTTATCCAACTCGAATTTAACAAAGGCCTGGATTTCCTCAAAATCCACCAGTTTTCATCCATCTTCCAGTCTGCCACGCAGTAACTTAGCATCCTTTCCCTGCTTCCGAAGAGCAACTCCCTTAACCTTTTTTTTTTTCCAGTACCCAGTCACCCACTGTGTCGCGTTCAGAATTGAGTTGTGTGACAAATTTAAAAACATTTCTTTAATATCAAATGACGCACCGACCAAACGATCTTTTTTTCCCATACCCTTATTCACTCTCTTGATTTCTCCCACCAATCTGTCAGCACTCCTCAGGTTGAGGTTAGAGCCCCGTGGCAAGTTCCAAAGTAGATGATTGATAGCTCTGGACACCATGTTACCACATTTGCCGATCCTTCTGGGTATGATGGGCATATTGGTCGCCAACGGTTCACATCTTTATGTTTAGGAATACAGTATGCCTTGCCCAACGATCCCTGTTTCTTCCAAGCTCCCACAGACATTAATCCCGACTGTTTATACTTACGACAACATTCTTGCACGATTACATCCTCATCAGCCGTCTGAGCTTCGAAAGCCTAATTTCCCAAAAACAGACTCGTCACCCCTCTTCCATACACCACTGGACAGCAGACGAAAGTATCTCCTATAGTATGATCCAGCGGGCAGCACACAAGCCCATCAAACAAAGGTATTAGTTCATGTAGATCATCCTCTCCTATGCATATATCACTCTCCCTAGATACGGCAGACAGACAAGCCTCCGACCCTTGAAATTCCCGCTCGTCAATAGGTGGCAACGAAGGATGCATCCGAAAAGCCTTCGACAATTCCTTGCCCAATTCCGAGCACCTATTACGCTTGGATGGTCCCATAACATTTTTCGACATCCTAATCCAATCCGGTAGGTTATTGACCTCACTCATTCTGCACGCCACATGTCCATCAAATCTCATCCACCGTTCGTCAGGCTCCTCACAACTGCACAGGAAAGAACTACCTCTAGCCACTCGTCTGTAATTGTGAATTTTATCTGCAATAGACCTGTTACGACACCACACAACTCTCATCCGTCTAGTAGGCTTCAGAAATTTTCATTTTCATGACGATCTTTGCACAAAAGCTTCGCACCTTACTCTTACTTACCATCTCATCGTACGTTAGTTTAATCACCAACCTTTGACGGACCCGTAACCCAAACTGCTTTTGAATAACACTAGATAACAAGTACCTCAGCCTGCATCTTGTACGTTTCTCACCAAATGTTCGTACTGCTGTCTAGGAGTACACAAATTTATCAAAATTCCAACTAGCTAGCTCATACTTCTTCTTGGGCAGCCTCAACACTTCAATAAGTGGCCCTTTAAACATCAACAACTTACTCAAGAAGGGCACCACCTTCTCAACACTGATACAGACACCATCTTTAAACCAACCCCGAGCATGTCTTAATTCACCCGAACCGTACAGACAGGTAACGATACTGCCTCCATACATCCTTTTTACTACATTCCATTTGTCAATCAGACGATCACCACCCTTACAGACAAACATACAGTTACTCAATGAATTCTGCCGACAATGCTCCAATACCCGCATCAGACTCCCTATCCCTAAGCCAAAGGTAGTATGAAAACTGAGTAAAACACCACCCATTGTCTTCTCTTGTTGTTGAATCAATCCTCTCCTTCTGATCTTTCTTCTCTCCCTACAGCCTGGCCTTGACCTCTTCGATTTCCTACCTCTCCCTCTGACGTTCAAGAAAGGACATAATTCACAAATAAAATAGTTCTCCATTTCAATCAGATCGTCTTTCGTACATACCACAAGCGGTATGATTACATACTTGTGAGTCCCATATCTTCTTAACCATCTGCAGAGTCTCTCGTTCCTCCTCCCTTCCTGCACAGACCGCTGCTGTAAAGCTCTACCAACATGCTCCCCCCATCTCGTCCCCGTATCACGATTCGTGCTACCCACATATAAATGTCTTCACCATGGCGAAAAAAAAACATACACGACCGGTCCGCTTCCAGAATCAAAATCGAACCCATCTTTCCAGGCCTGAATCACATACTTGACCAACTTATCTCCCCATGCAAATGCTCCAGCAACAATCAACATGCATATAATAAGACTCGAAAACCGTTCAGTACCTTGCATCTCAACCGTAGAGTAGAAGTAGATCTAAAAGAGCAACATCTCTCAGTAAGCTTCCAAAGACGCGCCACATTCGGGAGCATACCTACAAAGTAGTTGAGTGACCAGCGTCACTCGTTTCGATCTCATCCCCTCCATCCTCTAACACCTCGTGAACCACTTGTTTCCCCTTTCCACCCGCATCACCCTGATCATCGAATTCCCTGGCCGTCCGTACTTTTGCAATTTCTTCTGTCGTAATGTCCCAACTTTTCGTAGGTGATTCCCTCTTTCTCGCAAATCGTTAGGATCTCGTCCTTTCGTACACACTTAAAATCCTTCCTCGCTTTTCTCAAGAATCTCTCTCGATCACTGATCTGAATTGCTAGGGTAGCCTCCTTCGCCCTATCCGTTTTTCTCGCAGAGCACCCGGCCACCTCATCAAGCCGTGATTTCAGATTAGTGGCCCCGCCCTGATGTCTCTTCTCCATCTCTAATATCTTCATCTTCTCGTGCAATTTCTCTATCTCCAGCTCATCGTTTGCCTTCTGTGATCTGATCTTTTGTAACTCATCCTTGGCTTCTCGCCTAGCCCTCATTTCTTTCAACCTCATCTCTTGCAGCATGTCGACTTCCATTCCGTGCCTTTTCACAACACTCTTATAGTGCTCGTCCACGTGTAATCGCGTGGTGCCCGGTGTCGTTCCCAGTGTCGTTCGTGCGCGCACCCTGGCTTGCGTTGCTGAAGTGGCTTCGACGGCCAGGTTTCCCCGTTTGTTGTCGGGTCGTAGTGCCTCGCTCTTCCATGCTCCGGCATCCGCCATTGCTTCATCCCTTAACCTCTTCTCTTTTGCTATCTCCTCTTCAAGTACCCCGAATCTTCTTTCTGAGGTCAGTCTCATATCAACAATCTCTTTCTTCACTAACTCAATTGTTTCCGTATCAGTCAACGAAGACGATGGAAACACGCCTTGTTGGCTCCTCTTCATTCTCTCGATTTCTTCCCGCAACTTCGTTATCTCCTCATCTCTTCCTTTGCTCTTCATTCTTGTCTGTGTTGCAATGAACGCCCCATCTTACCGACTGTTCTTTAGTATCTCGATCTCCCTTCGTAACTTAGCAACCTCGTCGTCGCTTTTATCTTTATCTTTCTTCCCCACCGCTATGCTGATCACATCGAGCTTAGTGTTAAGGTCCTTGGCAAAGATAGAATGTATCTCCTCCCTACTTGCAGACGCCTATCTTCCTCTTCCTTCTCCTTTTTCTTCTTCTCTTCTTCATCCCGAGTAACTTTCTCCCTTGCTTCATCTGCTTCATGTCTACCTCTTATCTTCGCAATTAGATCATCCAAATTCGATGCCCGCCGACCCAACCCTCCACCACCCGAGTATCCTCCATTGTAATTATAGCCATTCTACGCAGGAGCCGTGCTGATGGGAGCTCCGCCATATGCTTGAGTCTGCATTGGAACGATAGCCGTACTTGTCGAGGCCGCTTCGTTCAGCCACTTATCCGGAAGATGACAAAACCTAGCGATGTGACCTACGTGACCGCAGTTGTAACAGCCTGCATCTCTAGCACCCTTGTTGTTCTTATTCAACGCCATCCTGACCTTTCAGAAGTAACGCGGAGCCACACGACACTAGTACAATCTCTATGTCCGTTACACCGTGAGAGGAAGTATTATGCAGAAGCAGAACCATACAAGGTCAATTAGGAGCAATCAAAACTTCACACAGGAAACCGCGGATACAAGACAGACCGCAAAAGATGACTCAAGACACGACTAAGACATAGCTTGACATGAAAACCCGAACGTGACAACTGCTTCCGAAAAATAAACATGAAGAACATTAGCAGTAATGGAGGAACAGCGTTCCTCATCAGCGACGACTCCACCGGTTTCACCTGGCCGCCGTGCCAGGATCATCGGGAGTCTTGAAGTTCAGTTGTTCTGCCAAGTTATTTAAACTCCCTATTCTGTAGCTTAGTGTCGTAGTTCCTGAAGTAAGAAGTGAACCTGTAAGAAATTCTAGACTCAAAAATACTGCAAACCATGTATCTAGTCAAAGAAACAACAATATCCATCCATAGAAAAAATTCACGACTACGTTTAACTTAAGGAAACGTTCCCGACACCACTACGAGCCTAGTCATTTTCACCACTTGCCCTGTTTTGGCTGCCTCCGTTGTAAGGGGTATCGGTTATGTTTTTTTTCGAGTTTGGAACTTGTTTTGCCTTCGACGTAGAGGATACTGTTGTGTACTAATAGGATGGTGATTTCCTAATGTGGGGGGTATCGATGAGGTTCGGAAAATGGATTATGAAAAGAGGTCGTCGGTTGTTTGAGGTATGGATTAAGGGTTGGAATACCGACGGTTTCCATGGTAAGAATTGGTACTGGTGTTTTTGGGTTTCTGTTTCAGACAGTGGTGTCCAGTATTCTGGTACCTACCGGATCGGCGTATAACTGGTTTCGGGGATGGTTTGAGAAAGTTTTTTTTAGCGCGACCAGATTTGAGGTTCATTAAAGAATTAGTGATAGGCCTGTTTTTTATATTCACCGGTGTAGCGGATGGTAGGCTGGTTGTAGCATAGTTTCTTAGTATATAAGTCTTCAACAGTCTGTGTGTCCATCAACCGATTCGATTATCAGACCCCTGATGAGCCTAGTTAGCGGCTAGGTGAAACCGGTCGGGTCAAATCCGCTACGCTTCAAGTTTTATCTAATATTACAGTCGCGTTCGTGGACACCTGTCGTGTTGAGTCTTGTCTGTGATGTCGGTCTTCATTATCATGTCTTGCATGATTGTCACTATCGTGGTGTATGGTTGTCGTTCTTTTGTCCTGTTTCACTCATTTTATGCTCGTTGACAGTAGTTGTTCTTGCTTTGATCGACCTTCATGCCCCTTCATGACAAACGAGAAAAATTCGGGCGCGCGTCCTTCTTGCCAAAGGGAAAGTTTGGGCACACGAAACGTTAAAGGGTTTCCAGTGGGCGGTTTCGACCAATTATCCCAAACCTGTGGGACAGAGGCCATACGTTTTTTGGAGGGGAAGGATATTGCTGTCACTTTTGAGTTTCGAATGCGCAAAAGAAACAGGTGTCAGCAAAAGCCGCTGAGTTTGAAAAAGCAATGAAAGTACCATGGCCACGACAGAGGCACGGGGTCATAATTGACTTAATGTGAGGGCATGGGGGCGCGTAGTTTGTCTGTTGATGTGACTGGGGAAGCGTAAGGTATTGATTATGCTGTGTTTATGTTTTGACACGTTCGCTATACACAACCCCAAGATTGTGTGTGTACGCTCCGATATGTATATGTGACGGTGACTCTGTGAGTGCGCGTATGCGAGAGTGTCTGTGTCACTGTGTGTGTGTGTGTGTGTGTGTGTGTGTGTGTTTGTGTGTGTGTGTGTGTGTGTGTGTGTGTGTGTGTGTGTGTGTGTGTGTGTGTTCGAGAGGGGG